TGAATAAATCTAGGGTAAACAAATTGAATTTTGTGAATAAGGAACGGATATTTTGTGAAAGCCAAAGACTTGAAAAAAGCAAAAAAGATATGTACTAAGCAGATTAGGCTAAAGTATTAAAAAAGCAGGTAAAACATGTGGGTTAAAACTGTGGTTTAAGATCAAGGTTCGTCAATGAGTAAGCGATAAGGATCGGGATAGTTCGATATAAACTTTTTTAGTTCAGGAATTTGAAAAAAAAACTAAAAACACAAAAGCTTTTAGTTTTAATAAGTTATTAAGACTGAAGCCGCCGCGAGCTAATCAGTTAACAAAAATTTAAACGGAAGAAATTTTGAAAACAGGAATCTTCGGATTAATAAAGGAAAAGACTGAATATGTTTGAAAAAAAAATAATTTGTGAGGATTAAGAATAACAAGGAATTTAGTGATTAAGAGTGATATCAGTGGTTTGTTGGACTAAAATAATGGAGGATTTATTAAATTCAAGAAAAACACAAAGGATGGGAAATTTTAAGTGTATAAGAGGATCTGTTGGTAGTAAGGGATATCAGTGATTAAGGATCATAAAGTCGGTAATTAGGTGTTCTAATAAAGATAGTGAAAATTTGAAATTTAATTGTGGTTTGGTATTTGAGTAAATTAGGATATTTGAGAGATTAAAAATTAATATCGGGATCAGGGCTGATCGAAATTTCGTTTCGCTCTTTCGTGCCCGTTTTTCATTTCATTTCGTTTCGTGACGAAACAAAAAAAATTTATTTCGTTTCGTTTCGAAACGAAATAGACAAAATTCCGGACGAAACAAAAGTGAGAAAATACACTCATAATGTCAGGAATTTAAGGAAATAATCATAAATTTTTAGTGATTTCTGGCTTATGAGCAGCCTAAAATTAAAAAATTTTCGCCTGCAGCGCTAAAAAGGAAGAAAACTTTTACGGGTTTTGCTAGAGTAGATCAGGCTTCCGCCGCCCAACCAACCATAGTCCTAAATCTTAATATTTGTGATTAAAAAATTTTTGAAACCCAGATTCGAATATGCTGGAGTTTTACTCCAAATTGATTAAGGCTGATATATGTCAATTTAAAGGGATTAATGGGTGAATTGTAGAGAGTCAATTTATGTAGCATAATTGAATTTTGGGGGATATCGAGAGAGGAAAATTTGAAGAGACTAAAAAGATATAGTTTACTTCGTTTCGTTTTGTCCGAAACAAACTCATTTCGTTTCGCTTCGAAACGAAAAAGGAAATTTTTATTTCGTTCCGATTCGAAATAAAAATATATTTTTATTTCGATCAGCCCTGAGCGGGATCTTGAGGTGATTAAGAGGATAACGGGGGCATAGTGAGGTTAAAGCTGTAATAGATGGTTTTGAGAAATGACTAAATAATGATTTGACTAAATAATCAAAAAGAGTGTCAAGCAAAACTAGGAGCTAAGACTGATAAATATAAGGATTATGAAGATTAAAATTGATTTTAACGATTAGGTGTTTAAGAGTTATAAAAGTATAAAGGAATTATCATGGAGTTATTTAGGGTAATAGGGATATCATGGATTTGATAGAATTAAGATTTATATACCCGGTTTAAACCCCCCACGAATAAAAAACACAAATTAAAAGAAGAAAAAGTTTATTTAAATTAAATCCAAATATATGAACTCGGCTGGCGCTAGGTTGGTTAAAAAGTTGAAGAGAAGAATAGGTGAAGTTAAAGAAGTTATGAATGAATTAAAGTTTTTAGTGGAGAAAGCGATCGAAAAGGCGAGGATTGCCAGTCGGCACATGGGATAATGTTAGTTAGAAGGATTTAAAAGAGATTAAGAGGATTATCAATTTATCAAAAAGAAATTAAGGGATTTTGGTGATTATGAAAGATATCTATGATTTGAAAAGTGGCAAAAAATAGGATGTAGCAGAACGTCAACTGTAGGTGTGAATAATTGAGTGTGAATGAGGTGTGAATGGTTAAACCTCTTTTGAGAGGTGTGAATGATTAAAAACATAGTAATTTTAAGGAATATCAGGGGATTAAGAGATGCATGGGTTTTGTGAAATTGAGAGGGTTAGCCTTTCCATTTAATTCATTACGGACAAAAGACGAACGAAACAAAAAAAATTTTTTTTGGAATTTTAGGAAATTTTGTGGGATTTTAAATTTTTGAATTTTTCCAATCATTTTCCCTAAATAAATAAAATAAAACAATATTGGAGTTCGTTGGGTCCAAATGTTTATGTTTTGTGTCTTCGCGAATTAGTTCCGGCATGCTTAAGTAAAATTGATTCTAATGAGAGGGAATCAAGAAAGGGATCTTGGTGGTTAAAGAGCGGTTTAATGTGCATTATATTTCAGTGATATAAAGGGTACATGAGGATTAAAAGGGATATCTGCAAATATATCGTAAATCCTCTAAATAGGCAGCCCTCTAAAACCTACCAATAAAATCTTTAATTGCTGATAAATTGTTGTGCTCCCTCCTTGAGTCTGCGTGAAGGAATATAGAAGGATTAGAAGTGATTAAGACGGTAATTGGGAGATTAACAGGATAACGACGTAGATATCTAGGGATTTGGGTGATTAAGAATGAAATCGGAAGTTTTGTAGGTTTAATGAGCTATATAAAGATAGTAGAGATTAAGGGAGATTAGGAGAGATATCTGGGGATTAAGAGCAGGGTTTCGATCACAAATCTTATAAAATACGAAATTTTGATTAAAAAAATCCGCATTTTATATCAAAAATCATCAAAAAATTATCAAACACAAAAATTGAATTAGAATCACTTTATGCATGGTATTTTTTACTTAAAAAATTGAATCGAGCAATTTTTATTACTAAAATTTTGAGGATTTTGAAAGGCCAAGAAGACAGATTTTACCATTTAAAGCGCCGAAGGCAAAAATTTTGAGAAGTTGGAAGGTCTTTACAGAAAAATAAAGACATTTTATTCAAAAAACTACAAAAAAATATGTCAGCTAGGAAAGGAATATTAACAGAAAAATATGCTTTTGTGTTTTTAAGAATGTTTTTTTGTTTGAGAAATTAAAATAAATAATGGAGTAAAGAGAAATTCGGGTAAAACCATAAAGAGCTATAAGATTGGGGAACTAACAGATAAATCAAGGAACAAAGGTGGTTCCATGATTTTGGGGTGTTTAAAAGGGATATCAGAAGATTTGGGGGCTAAAGGGTGATATCTCTGATTTTGGGAGTAAAGGGTCTATTTGGGATTGAGCGTAATTAATTAAATTATCAGAGGATTTTGTATGGTATTTAAGAGAATGTTGGTTAATAGGATATCGGAGGATATTGGGCAAGGGTTATAATTGGCATTAAGGGTATAAATTTCGGAGTTAGAGTCCGTCAATTGTGTGAGAGTCTGTCGAGTAATGTTGGTAACTAAAGTCAATGGGAGAATTTTGGTTATAACATTGAAAGGTTTGAACGAGCGTTTTGGTGCCGCGAAGCGGCACCAAACCGCTCGTTAATTATTATTTTTAGTTTTAACATCTCCACTTTTAATATTTTTAATTTTACAATTTTTATTTGTAATTGTTTTGAGTGATTTTTCAATATTAAATAAATCAGAGAAAAGTTTAATCACAAAAGATAAACAAGCAAATTTATTACAATTAATTTCTGATTGGAATGAAGAACAAAAGAGGGTAAAAAATTGAAAATTAAATTCTTTTTTTTATTAAAATAAATTTAAGAGTAAAAGTCAAAATGAAATACAAAATATTTTTATGGAAAGAGAAAAAAGACAATGCTGCTTTCCAACTCAATTAGCATGTTGTCAAGTTCCGGTAAAAAAATAAAATATATTTAATTATTATTTTTTTAAAGATTATTACATGAATAATTATTTAGTTTAGTTTAACTTAACTTTTTGTTAAAATACTTTAAATTTTATTTTTATCAAAATTAATAAAAATTTAGTTACCACCACCTCCTCATCCTTTGCCACCTCCTCCTTTGCCACCACCTCCGCCTCCATTACCTATGGCAGCTCCTCCGCCAATTCCATTGGAATTAGCTCCGTGCCAATGTGTTACACTTAATATTTTGGTAACAAGCTTTTTAAAACTTGATTTATTCCTTCTAATAATAAATTGATTTTAAATTATTTTTAATAAAAAAATTTATTTTTTGGTCCATCAATGTGACTGTGCCGGATTAATGCCACCATCAATTCCTATGCCTCCACCGCCCATGCTTGCTCACCCACCACCTCCACCATTATTCCCACCTCATGCTCTTGTCTGTCAATGCCCATTATGGCAAGAACAGCTTGTAAGTTGTGGTTGCCCTCCAATAAATTATCAGGTAAAAATTTTGAAATTTAATTGTAAAATATGGATCTAATCAGGTCAATTGTATTCCTCCATGTCCACCATTAATGCCGCCACCACCTGTTCCACCACCACCGCCGCCGCTACCACCACCACCAGTTCCTCATCCGCTGCCACCGCCTCCAGTATTATTCATAATCTTTATCTCAACTTGTAATTTTACCTAGATGCCTCCTCCTCCACCGCTACTTCCTCCACCACCTCCGCCACTTCCCCCACCACCACCACTGCCACCAGTTGCGCCTCTGCCGCCACCTCCGCCAGGACCGTATCCAGCACCTATGCCACCTCCTATTGGTCCTTGTATTCCGGTAAATTTTAATATTAACAACACTTAAACTATTTTCCGACATTAAAAGGTCTGTCATCCAGCATGCACAATCCATTGCATATTTCCACCTTCAATTCCGCCGTTGATGCCACCTCCACCACCACTTGCTCCGCCAATGCCTCCACCACCTCCGCCACCACCACCTTTGCCACCGCCTCCTCCTCCACTTCCTCCTCCGCCTTGTGTTCCGCCCTGCGCACCAATTTGTAGATCACTTTGTTTACAAGTATTTTAAATTTTAAAATGAGATTTTCTATAGATTTTTCGCATAGAATTTCTACATAATTTTATACAAATATGTTTTATTTTAGGAAATTCCACCGATTGTATTTCCGCCTCCACCGCCGGCAGCCCCGCCACCTCCTCCGCCACTAGTTTTTATCTTGTTTTAAAATAAATAATAAGCATAAATTCTAATAGCCAACTCCTCCTTTGCTAACACCGCCACCTTGTTCGCCAATGTGTATGCCTCAAGTAAATTTCATAGACTATTTAATTTTCTTAAGATTAAGCTTAATTTTTGAAAATCTTTTTAGTGTTTTCCAAGTTGCATGATTATGATGCCTCCGCATTTGCCACCACCACCTCCTCCGCCTCCTCTACCTCCACCACCGCCTCCAGCTTTTGTGGTGTTTTTAAATAAATAATTAAAAATAAAATTTAATAGCCAACTCCTCCTTTGCTAACGCCACCACCTTGCCCACCGATATGTATGCCTCAAGTAAATTTCATAATCTTTAATTTCCTCAAAATTAAACTTAATTTTAAAAAAATCGCTTTAGTGTCTTCCAAGTTGCATGATTATGATGCCTCAACATTTGCCACCCCCACCACCCCCGCCTCCTCTACCGCCGCCACCACCACCAGTGTTCACTCCTCCAATGTTTGTTGTGCCTCCAGCACCTCCTCCGCCACCAATGGTGAGTGAGATTTTAAGGATATTTTATTTTGATATTGAAATTTTAATTCACAATTAACTTGCGGAACAATCTATCAACCTCTATATATTTGTCAAAATTAAATTTAGGTATTCATGCAGCCGCCTCCACCACCACCAGCTCTTCCTCCTCCTCCCCCAACACCTCCAGTTCCATTTATGTTGGAATGCCAATCGCCTTGTTTGGTTTGTTTTTGTTTGTTAAAAACATTATAGTTAACCTTCCATTTATATATAATTTCACAAAATATTTTCCTAACAATAAATTCAAACTTTTAGCCAACCTGTCAACCCTCATGTATACTACAACAATTTGCAATAGCTTCCCAACCTATCCTTCCCCCACCTCCACCTCCTATTTTTGCTGCCCCACCGCAAGCAATTTGCGAACCATGCCCACAGGTTGTGATTACCAAGACAAACAATTTAAATTTATTAAATAAAGTTTCGCTATTCTTAGCGAGTCTTTAATAAAATAAAAATAATTTAATTTAAGCCTTTCTTACCTCCTCCTCCAGCAATCTCACCTGTTGTTTTACAGCCACCAATTGCACCTATATGCCCTCCAATATGTCAGCCGGTTATCTAACTTATTAGATTTATTTTTTATATACATAATTTAGTTAATTATGCCACCACATCCAATTCCTCCTCCCCCACCTCCAATATTTGCACCTCCATCTCCCCCACCTGGAATTCCATTAAATGCATTTTGCATGCAGGTTATACATAGGAGTATTTTAAATATTAAATTATTAATTTATAATGACTTTCTTATTAATTGACAGTAAATTTTTAACAAAACACGATTTTCAGGCATGCCCTCCAATGATGCAAAATATGGTTATAATTTAATATATTTTGCTCATTTTTTTAAATTTAAAGGTCCCAATACCTCCCTCATTTCCACTTCCTCCATCAGCACCTCCATCAGTTATTTTAGCTCAACCACCTCCTAATACTTTTTGTGGACCTCCATGTCCTGTAAATATTTTATTTAATTTGGAAATTTATTGTAGAAATTAATTTAATTTAGCCTCCTCCGTTGATGTTTTGTCTTAATGTACCCCCAGGTATTAGAATTAATTTGAATTTTATTGAAAATAAATATTTATTTTTTATTACTAGCCCACAATAAAAAAATAATTAACATAAATTTAAGCCTCACATCCACCTATACCTCCACCATTATTTGACATGCCACCTCCACCGCCGATAGGTACCATTTAAATTAAAATTTTTATTTGTTAGTTCAAATATTATTTTTAATTAAAATCATTTTTTAATAAAAACAATTTTAAGGCTGTATTTGCCCTCCAGGTTATGTGCCTTGTTCTAAAAAATTCTGTTGCTCACGACGAAAGAATAGGGATTCGCCATTAAAAGAATTTGTTAAAACTAACAGCTCAAAAAATGATGAAAGGTATTTATTACTTTCCAAATGAATAATTTGGTACTGCTCAGGACAGGGGATTTTTAAATAATATTTTTAAAAAAAGTCAAAATTTTAATTTTTAAAGTAATAACGGCAGCATTAACCATGAAAATTCCATAAAACCCCAACAGAATACAATTAAACAAACAGCAAATTCAAATAAATTATTTTCAATTTTAACAACCGAAATGCCTACAATTGTAATTCATAGGCATAAAACAACAACAACAAATAACAACAATATTCAACAAGTTGTAACACCTACAAAAGTTGATCTTTCGTCTTCATATTTACAAAAAGCTTCTGTAAATATTTCTTTTAAATTAGGGTAACACCCCGTCCCCGACGATTTTTTGGCAAAACTCCCGATCCGAACCCCGAAGGCTCTACCCAGACATGCCCTTCCAGGCAAACCCCGATCCCCAACACACCCAACCCGAAGGCTCGGGGTGCTAAACTAGTTTAAATTATTAAAATAATTTAAAATTCTCCAATTCCTTAAATTATTTTAATTTTTTCCAGCAAAATAAACATAAAAGAACAAGAAAGGATTATGAAGAAGAAATATTGCAAAAACAAAGAAGAATATCTTCCGATAATAATGACAATATATTAATTAATAATATGCCTTTGTTAAAATTATTTTATTCAGTTGCTGGTGCAGCATAATTACTTTTTGTTTGTAAATTTATTTTTTTAAAATATTTTCTAAATAAATACATAACTTTTTTCATACTTTTTCCTTTTCTCTATGTGGTTCTAGGGATAAATACACATAAAAAATATAAAATTTTTAAAAATTTCTACAATTTACTAAAATATTACAGATTGAAAATTTCTTTAAATGCTTAAATGCTATTTATTCTTTCTGATCCAAACAGACTCCTTCGATTTTTTATATTTAATTTTATAAATTTAGACTGGGAGTTTGAATAGAGTGAATAGTTTCTATGTACCTACTACTCGAAACGGCATTGTTTTTTAGTTATTTTGACCAAAATTTTTTTATCAAATTTTTGATTTTTTTTACTGATTTTTTAAAATTATTTTAATCACATCCGATTGTGAAAGATTCTTCCGCTAGAACGTGCCAAATAAATAAGTATTCGATTGTCAGGACCCGTAGAATAAGAAGGTAGTTAGGCGCTACCATCGTAGTGGCAGCGCCGATATAATTTTGCCAAAATTTAGATTGGGGTGTTATCTATGATTTGCCAAGAAATCAAAAATTTTGAATTAATTTACACAGTTGATGCAGCATAATTACTGTTGACGAAAAAATAGGGAAAAGCTTGGCTAAAAGTTATGAATTTTCTAGCAAGTTACTACTTTTCTTTAAAAAATGACTAAAAATGAGGCACTCTTTGTTAAAAATTCTCATAAATTTATTTTTAAATTTAAAATTTTTAAAATTATCCCAAAAAATAGAGCACACTTCAGACTATCAAAAAATATTTAATTTATAATTTCTTCATCAAATTTCAATTTTTAACGATTTTTTTAAAAAATCTTCTACCTGCCCCCTAGCAGGGTAGAAGGAGAATTACAGTAACTTTAGCCTGTTGTTGGCTTGCGAATACATGGGTTGATTGGCGAATAATTGTCCAATAATAGGGTTGTTTTGCGAATAAATGGGTGTGCACGTTTAACAACTTTTCCTTAAGAAACGTTGATTTGCATTTTCCTAGTCTCTATTCTTTTTCTTCTTTTTTAATAATCTGATTAATTAATTTAAGGATGATACGAACATCAACAGATTTAACAACTTGGACTTTATTTGAGAAAATCCGTTTGCTTGAACTTTTTATGAATAAAGAAATTTTATGGTTTAATATTTTATTTAAATTTCTTTTATAATTAAATTTTAGGGAAGGACGTGCAGAAATTTTACAAAATGAATTTGCACAGAGGCCTCATAATTTCTTTACTGTTCAGGTTAATTTTTTTATGAAAAAAATTTCGGGGAAAAAGTTTAGTTTCTAATTATAGAATATTAGTAAATTTATGAAAAATAGGTCATTTGGATGTTTAACTCGTGGCGGCTAAAACGCGTTACGGATACCACACGGAACGACAAAACGCGGTCGGACAAAACACGGAAAAAAATTTAAAATCAATATTTTTTAAATGAGAATTTAAAAAAAAATTCTGAAGAATTCTGATTTTAAAAATATTCTAATTTAGAAAATTCTGATTTTAATAATTATATCATTTTTGAATAATTTTTTGACTGTGTTTTGGTCGTTTTGCGTTTTGCTGTTCCCTGTTTTGGAATTCCTCGTTTTGCCACGCACCCGTTTAACTGACTTTTTCCGAATTATTTGGGGTAGATTATTATAGCCGCCTAATTTTCTAGTTCTATTTTTATCAGAATATCTTTAGAATATCCGTCAAGAGCTTCATCAAATATTCGTAACTCCAAATCCTGAACATGTTTATGGACTTCCTCTACATCCACGTGGCAAAGAAGCGGCAGAAATGTGGCTGAAATATTTTAGAAAAGAATTAACCAAACAACGAGAACTTCAAAAACAAATGTTTGCTATTTCGATGCGTCGACATTTGGATTTAATTAAACGTTTTCAACAAGGAAAGTTACCTCCACAAGAAATCGAAGCAATTTTGACTGAAGCACGTGAACGAGATTCTCAGGTTTTTAAGACAATATAACGGGGGAGGGACGGGAAAAATTTGTAGGAACTTCGGAGAATCAAGAAAGCCAGAAAAAATTATCAAGTTCCCCTACTTTCTGGAATAGAGTTTAATTATTTTGGGCACGGCCCAAAATGGCGCAGGCTAATACTTCAAGACCGAAACGGCGAAGGATAAAACGTCACAAACTATCGAAAAAATATTCCCCGCTGTAGGAACAACTTTACTCGCAGTTTAGGTCTGCTCCATTATAATCGTGAGCCATTTTGGTCGTTCAGCATTTTCGACTATGCCGTTTTTTTGTTTCTTATTTTTCAGAAGATTTTCCTTAATTTCCCTCTTCTGCTAGAACCTTTTAAAAGAAAATATTCTTAAAAAATTCCATTTCTCTTAATTAACAATATCAAATTATTATTTAAAATTAGTTTGCTTATTGCTTTTAATTTTTATAATTTCTTTCTAATTTAGCGCCCGGATCGAGAGCTTTATGAAACTAAACTTAAGGAGATGTTAGATAAACTACAATTGGATAGCCTAGATAATGTTTGTTTTGAATTTTATTAATTTTATATTATTTCTTTTTTTCAAGATTCGCACTTTCTCTGATTATTTCTCTTATTTGCGTGGTGAAAAAATTCCAACGCCACCTCCTGAACCGTTGGAAGAAACGTTTCCAAAGTCGCCAAGTCTTGTTCGATTGAAAAGTCCTTTATTGCATTCACCAGAGCTTGTGTTGAAAGGTTTTCTAATATTAAAATATATTTAAGGAGCCCTTGGTCCTAAATAGTAAACAAATTTTTTATAAAAATTAAAATAATTGCCAATCTAATTATGTTCTAGTCAGAAAAATTTTTGAGGAATGTTTATTTCATTCTTATTTTTTTGCTGACTGCGGAAATATTTTTTGAGGTTTTCTCATTGTTGGATTTATTATCTAGTCAAAGTCCCTGAAATTCTAGGTCGGCTTTTATTTTTCCTTAGAATATTACGTTTCATGAAAAAATCAAAAATAAATTTTTTTGAGGTTTTCTTAGGTTTATTGTTTAGTAAAATCCTTTAAATTCTAGGTTTCCATTTTTCTTCAGAATCATTATGTTATTTGAAGCAATCAAAAAATTTTTTTCTTGTTTCTTTTTCTGGGGGCATTTTTTCTTATTCCCATGAATCTATTGAAAAAAGGAAAAATTTTTATAAATTCCTCAAAATTTTTTTTGACTTCTTGAACAGCATCTAAAATTTATTTAATTCGTTAACTAAAAAATGCTTTATACGAAATTAAGAAAAATATGAAATAAATGAATATGTCAAAACTAACAAGCCACAATCAAAATTGGAAAAGGCGGTTCAAAAAATCATGAGCTTGAGTAATAGACAAAATTTAATTACAAAACCGTGTAAAATAGAACAAAAAAGTCAATTAAACCAAAATATAAATAAATATGGGGTAAAAGATTTAATGAAAATCAACACATTTCAAACTTTGGACACAACACTAAAAAATTCAGACATCAAGAACAATACGATCCAAGCACAAGAACAAAAGGCTTCAACAAATGAAGTCAATCAAAGGACCGCAACGATCACTTGTGTGGGCAATGCGAGACAAAATGATGAGTTTCCCCTCGACGATTTTTCATTATTGGAAGATGATAAATCTAATGAAGAAATCAACGAGGTAGAGTTTAGTTCACCAAAATCGAAACAATTTTCAACTGTAAACAATCAAGAAAAGGAAGAAGATTTAAATAAACTTGTTAACTCGAAGTTAATCCAAGAGGATAATGAAGCTAAAAATACTTGTGAGGAGCAAGACGAAGAATTAAATGTCGAGGAAGAATGTAAGAAGTCAATTAAATTTAATGAAGCTATTGAAGATGAGGATATATTAGAAACTGTAGATGATGCTGAGATTTGTGGGGAATATAATGACGATATTTTTAACACAAAGCAGAATCTTGTTCATAAGAATAACACAAAAGAGATTAATGGTGATAAAATAAATAGGAATATTTTTGAGGAAGAAGAAGATGAGATTATGAATAATATAGAAAGGGAGGATAATGATGTTGTTGTGTTAAATACAGATGAAGAAGAAGTGAAGAGCATTAAAGAAGATGATATTAAAGTTATTGAAGAAACTTCCAAAAATGAGAATAATGATAAAAATATTAACGCTGTAGAAAATCCAGAAGTAATTGTTGTTGAGGATGACGAGATAATTGTTGATTTTGTTAAGATAAATAATGAGGAAAGTGTGTTGGATGAGGAGGAAAATGTTTTGATTGAAAAGGAAATGGAAAAGAGGTTCCAAGAAAGCTTTATCGATGCAAACTTGGAATTTGGTAATGTATCTATAGAGGAAAAAGTAGCAGAAATTGTATTGAAACATTCAAATATGGAATATGCAAAATTAGCTTCAACTGAATCAACTTTAGAAAGAATAAATCAATCAATGCAACTGATTAAAATGGATGGTCAAGAGAAAGATATATTTGTGGAATGTGTTCTAAAAATTGTTCAATGTGCTTCTGTTGAGGAAAAAGTTATTGTGCCGCCTTTGCCAATTACAAATTCCCTTGAGGGTGAGGGAAGAAATATTTGAAGAATTGGAGTATAAACTTGTTTGAATTCTAATAATATTTTGCAAGCGTTTATCTTTTTAATGAATTTTTAGTTAAATTTTTCGGTTAATTTAACAATGTGAACTTTTTCCAAGTTTAATTTTCGTTCCCTTTTAGCTTACTTTCTAGTGTAAATCACCTCGCTCTAAACCAATGTTCCTAATTTTTAAATTTTAGAATTCAAACATATTTATCTCCATTTTGCTTTTCCTATTATTTTAATATTCTATTTTCCGCGTTAAAACCGCCAAATTTATTCAGATTATTACTTTTTATTATACTTATATTTTTAATTTTAGAACCTATGACTTCTACAAAAGCAGCTCAGATTAATGCATTAGAAGCTGAATTAATTGAGCCTATACAAACATCTAAACAACAACAACAGACACGACGTCGCCGACAAAAGTCAACTTCAAATACTTCACAAAAAACCAAACTTGCAAAAACACAATTGAAAATACCACAACACTTACCAGCTACTAAAACTGCAGCATTGCCTCCTCCTCCAAGAAATTTGCGAAGTTCTACAGCTAAGAAAATAATTGAAGAAGAAATGGAGGCACCTACAACAATAACAAAAACTGAAGAGGAAGAAATTAAGACAGTTGCTGGTGAAGAATTAGCGTCTACAGTTGCTCCTATTGGTTCGAGAAAACGCAAGTGAGTTACTATTTGATTTTAAAAGTAGAATTGAATATTTAACAGTTATAAATATTTATCTGTAATTATTTCTTTTTTAACTTTAAAATACTCAGGAGAAATGTGAGTGAATTCTTGAAGCCTCCCCAAACTGACACTAATGACCAGCAGCATGTTGAGGATGAAGGACCTCCTGCTAAAAATTTACGTCGATCTTCGCATTCAAGTGAATAATTTTTAAAATAATTATTTAATTTAAAAAATATTCAGGCCCCTCTTCTCAAACTGAGCCTAAAACTTCAACAGAATCCAAGAAAGCTTCTAAACAACACGATTCTGCTTCACTCACTCCTGAGATTTTGTCGGTTAAAGAAAAAGCTGAAGCTCCTGTCAAAATTGAGCAGGAGCAGCCTATTGTACCAATAAAAACACCTCCACCACCACCCTTACAACTTTCAACACCAACTCTTCATTCTCATGTTGCTGCGACTGCAAAATTGCGCTCATCTTTGCGTAGAGCAGCGCTTGCGAGGTTTTTTTTGTTTAATTTAATTATTCCGACTATTTAGTTTTCCTTTTAACTGTTCAGATTGATATTTTCAATTCCGTATAAAGTTAATTTTTGATTAATATTAATAGGTCTTCAATTACATATTTGGGACCTTTTTACGTTAAAATTTGTGAAAAGATAGGGAATGTGTTTACTCAGGGACATATGAAAAATAGAATATCTTATTGTTAGTTTAATTCACTAGTTCCAAAAAAATATTGCTATTATTCAAATAATGCTTTCTAATATTTACATATTTAATTTTATCAAATATTTGTTTTTATAGCGCTACTCCATCTCCAGCTGTTGACAGCGTTGGTACAAATGGACTTTTCCTCCGCCCAGGCAACCACTCTTCTAGTGAAGTTATTCCCAAAGAAGTATTACTAACTCTTTGGAAAGATATTCGTACACATCGTCACTCTTATGTATTTGATCAGCCAGTAGATGAAGGGGAAGTACCTGGTTATCATTCAGCTATAAAAAAGTTTTTTTTTCCATTTTATTTTTAAATTTATTTTTATTTTTTTTAGACCTATGGATTTAAATACATTATTTCAACTTATTGAATCTTTTACTATACAAACATTTGGTCAATTCACTCATCATATTTTGAAAATTTTTGCTAATGCAGTAATGTACAACAGTACTGGCCATCATGTTAATACATGTGCCAAGGAGATGCTAGCTTATGCTTTGAAGTGTATTGAGGTTATTTTTTATGTTTATTTTAAAAATTCTTTTTATGAAATTTATTCAGAAAATATTTTATAATGGTTAAGTTTATTTCTATGTTGAATTGACTTGCTCATTACTAATTTTACTTCTGACTAAATTTTTATTGATAAAAACTTATTGTTATTAATTCATTTACTTTTAGGTAGTTTAATACCCTTCTGGTCAATGGTCTGCTGGAATTTTTTCCACCCCTATTTTTGGTACATCAAGTAATTGCCAAAGTATTGCTAGTGAAAGTGATTGTCCTTTTGATGGCCAATTGTCACGTAGCAGCAGTGGAATTTCTTGTTCACAAACAGCAAGTACAAGCAATGCAGCAAAAACTTCAACACAACAAAAGTTATTGAGAAGTTCTTCAATTAGCAAGAGAGAAACGAGTAAAACAAAAGCAATTCCTTCATCAGCTTCATCCTCAACTTCTTCACATTCTGAAACAAAGAAAGAGGTCTGTAGCCTTTTTTTGTTAATAATTTTAAAAATAATTTAAAAAGCTGGCCTAAAATTGGTTATCCTATTTTAGGTTTTAAACCAAATTCCTTTTTTATTGAAGGGTTTTTTTGCTCTTAAAATTGTTTTAACCCTAATTCAAACTTTGTATTGTTTAACTTATTGTTAGCTTTTAATCTTTAGTATTTTCTTTTTAAGACAGAAAATGACAAGCAAACATCAAATGTTCCGAAGAATGAAACCTTGCCTAAGAAACGCAGATTACATAGAACACGATGAAATGATTTTATTTTGATGATTCTTTTCGGCGTAGTGACAGAAACAGATGATTTTTATATTTAGAGAGAGAGAGAGCATTTTAATATCCAAAGAATTCATTTTAGAATTATTTTTCTATTTGCTAAATAAATTTCCAATCTTTATAATCTTACAATTAGCTTATACAAAGGTCACTTCTTTGGAAAAACTTAGGTTTTGAAAATATTAAGCTAAATAGAACAAAATGTAATCTAAAATTTTTTATTATTTTTCAATGATTCAGCTTTAATTCTTTAATTTTTTATTAATTAAATATTTAAAGTTGAAAATGAAACTAAAGAGCAGGAATGACAAATTTTCAAAAAAAATGTTTTTAAAATATTGGGAGTTTCATTTAAATAAAAATTTAGAAAATATTAAATTATTCTAAAAATATTAAAAATAAAAAATGATTAAAAAAGTTTTGGAAAAATATTTATATTTTTTAAATTCAATTATAATAATAACTACAATTTTTAACAAAGTTTTATTTTGCTTGCCAATTTCGAATAAAGTGTGTTAATTAATTTAACTTTAATAAATAAAAAAGGTTTTATGCTTTTAAGTAAAGTTCATCTTAAAGTTTTGTAATTCTCGATTTAATTGAAAATCGAGTTTGATGAATCGTTGTTGACTTTGATTGTGTCAAGTGTTTGAAGTTTGTGTCTATATAAAGGAGTAGGAGCAAAATTTTAAAATTTCCACACCTATAGCAGTATCACAGTATTGGCCGATATACATATTATTCTGTGTTTAGATAATCATGAGAGTTGTAGTTAAAAATCTAACTATTTTTAGTTATATATGGGTACTGAAATTGTTGATGATAAAACATTACCTTGGATGGTAACAATCCAAATGAAACATAATTATTCTAAATTAAATATTCATACTCAAGTATTTTGTACTGGAACTATAATTAATGAAAAATATATTCTTACAGCTGCACATTGCTTTCAAGGATGGACAAAAAATGGTAAAAAATATATTATCTCAATTAAAAGCAAATGAAGGAGTTAAAGTAAATGATCTCTTCCCCTCTCACTATTAAAAATTTTAAAGTCTTTTAGAATTTCTAAAGAAGAGAAAGTTTTAGAAAATCTTTGAATTCGGAGTCTTTTGTGAAAGAAAAAGATTTTTAAAGCTAAAATTAAATGAAAAAATTTAAAAAAAATTTCAGAAATATTATCTAATCCTTCAGCTTCTTTGGTTATTGGTTTTGGCTCGACAAATTTTAAAAATCAAACATTAATTGAATTTAACAATAAAATGATTAAAATACACCCTAGAAATAAAAACACAAATAATGGGATTTTTGGGAATTTACTATATGCTGATATTGCTTTAATTGAAGTATAATAAATTAATTATCATGTCACAATTATACTTAAATATTCTTTTACAAATTTGTTTAGGAACATTATTCCAACTTACAACTTAAAATTTTTATTTTTCCATAAAAATTAATTTTCGTGATTATGTTAGTTACAACAATTTATGCTAGAAATTAATTTAAAAATTAAAAATATTTCTTAAATTTCAGTCCTTTCTCAGTCTTTGTTCTTTTAGTTCTTTCTTCTCTTTAATTATTTTTAATTTAAATAAATATTTAGTTACCAGAATCATCAAAATTAAATTTATTTTCTTCACGAAATGCCCGTTCAATTAAATTAACAAATAGACTTCCATTCATTAAAACAAAAACTTTAATTGCTGGTTGGGGATGGATTAAACCTTTTTGTGAAGTTAATGCTAGTATTGACGGGAAAACAGATAAATTACAATCTGGATGGGTTGAAATAATGGAAAATAATTTATATTGTGTTAATGAAATGGAAGGTAGAAAAATGTAGTTAATTTCCTTTGAAAAATTTTGAATTAATTTTAAAATTTCTTTTAAACTTGTTTAAAAATTATCTTAAAATAATTTTTTAATTAACCAAAACTTTTAATTTTGTAAAAACAGAGTAATTTAATTTAAATAAATTCAAAGTTTCACTCCTCCAACAATTTAATAAAACATTTGGTCAAAATTTAAATATTCCTCTTTGCCTCACTTCTTGGATTAAAAAAATTACTGAGAATAATTGGAGTGACAAATTATGTGTACGTCCAAGTCCTTCATCTATTCAATATGTAAATTTTAATTAAAAAATAATTTTTTAGAACTTTCTTTGGGGCTGAAACTGTTACCTCTTATAAGGTTTATTTTACACCCTCCTCCCCCTTACATTTAAAAATTATTTTTTTATTTAAAATTAAGGGAGATAGTGGAGGCCCTTTACTTGTTGATTTTGGAGATTCTTGGTATCAAATTGGCGTTGTTACACAAGGAATGTGTAATAAAGATAAAAAATTTATTTCAAATCAAGATTATGGTAATAAATAATTTTTAAAGAAATTAATTTTTATTTACCTATTTAAAGCAACATTTACACAAATTGATTGTGAATGGATACAAACTGAAACTAAAGGGAAAGTTTTGTGTATATAAATGATTTTTTTATTTAAATATTGTTCTAATAGAAAATTATAATTAAATTTATTTAAAACATTTAATTATTTAATAATTAAAAAATATCGAGTTTAAAAAATAAAGGTATTTTTATTGAAAAAAATAAAATTTCGTGTAAAAATTAATTTTTAAATTAAAAATTAATTTTACAAAAAAACTGTCAATTTTAAGAAACATAGAAAAAACGTTGTTATTTTTAGAAAATAAAGTAATTTTAGCAAATCTTTAAATGTTATCATAAAATAGATAAAACTCTATTTAGCCAAACAAACAAAAAATCCTTATTTAAAATAAATATAGTTGACTGTTGTTATAAAACCTCAGGGGATAAAACAATATATGTTTTATTAAAAGAAATCTATCGATAAATAATAGCTAAAGTCAACCATAATATATTTTAAGGAATTAAAGTAAGATTAAAATACCTAGGTTGTCAACTAAGTCTCGAGCCCCCCCCCCTTAAGCGTATTAAATAATTATAAAAATCCAACAAAATGTTATCAGAATTCAATTTGAAAATATAAATTTTCAACCCTACTTAGTTAAAGGAGGCTCAAAACTTAGTTGACAACCTAAGTATAAAGAAATGGCAGTAACGGCATTTAAAATTAAGATTATTTTTGTGGCAAGCAAAGAAAGAAAGGAAAATTTATTCAAAAAATATTTTTAATTTAAAAATTCTTTTAATTAGGTAAAGGATTTTTTTGTTGTGTAGCAACTTTTTGATAAATAGACAAAGCTTGTGTTACAACACCCCCAATGTCTGAAGGATTAGAAGGAATAATTAAAGTGTTTGATTCTTTTGCCAATTTTGAAAAAGCTTTGACAAAATTGTCGGCAGTCAAAAAAGCGGCGGCATTTGACCCTCCAGAATTTTGAATTGCTTGTCCCATTCTTTCAAGAGAAGTTGCTCTAGCCTCATGTTCAATTGAAATAGCTTTAGCCAGCCCCTCACTTCGAATAATTTGTGAATCTCTGTCAGCCTCCGCAAGAACAACTTGGGAAAGTTTTTCACTTTCCGCTGCCTTTGCTAATGCAACCGATTTATTTACCTAAAAACATTTAAAAATGAGAAATTTGTTTTGTAAAATCAGAAAAAAATTTAAGTAAATTTTTAAAAACATTTTTGCTAGGGCAGGACACAGCCTGTTATTAACCGGTACCCCCCGTCTCCGGTTAAGCCACATTTTAAAAACCCGGTTTTCGGTTTTGAGTTTTAGTCAAATACCGGTTTTATTTTGGAAGGAATTTGTAAAAAATCACTCATTTTCATAGATTTCCGGTTTTTAAAATTTAATAAAATCGGTTAATTTTTTGGCAAAAAACCTCAAAAACTTAGGTTTTAAAACCGGTCGTGTCCTACCCTAATTTTTGTTAAATGGTTATGACAATTCTGTTTTTTATATGTAAATTTGTTTCATTTATAAAATTCCGATTATTTATATTGTATAAATATTTAAATTTACTTTAGATTGCATTTCAGCCTCAGACTGCAATATTTTTTGTATTTTCTCAGCTTCAGCAGCTTTAGCCAACCCCATAGATTTATTTACTTGTTCTTGCATTTGAGCTTCAGATTGAAGAATACGCGCACTCTTTTCTCCTTCTGCTTTATTTTTTGCAGCCTCACAAATACCCTCAGATTCGAGAATCATTGCTCTCTTTTTTCTTTCAGCTTCGACTTGCATCTTAATTTTTAGTTAATTTAAAATAATTATTTTTTAGTTTACTTTCATTGCCCGCTGTATTTCAGGCGGCATAGTCATTGTACGTATTTCATATCGAAGGCAAATCAGACCCCACGGAGCTGCTGATTCCTTTATTCCTTCTAAAATATTTTTAAAAATTATTTCCAAAAAATTGTTCCTAAAAGTAATTACCAACAACAGTCATATTTAAATTAGCCCTTTCATGAAAAACATTGTCGAGCATTAATTTGCCTACTTCTGCTCTCATTACTGTTTGGGCTAATTGACTTATAGCATATTCTGGGTTTTGAACACCATAAGAAGCCTTTTAAAATTTTTTTGAATATTTAAATGATTGATTAGAAATTACTTTATAAGGATCAGTAACTCTAACATACAAAACAGCATCTAGGTCTAACTGGACATTATCTTTAGTAATAGCTTCTTGTTGTGGAATTTCAATACACATTTCTTTTAAACAATGACGGTAACGAATTTCATCAACACAAGGAATTAGAAAATGGACACCCTTTAAAAATTGACAAAAAAGTTTTTAAAAAAATATTAAATTTATTTAAAACAAATGTTTATTTTGGAATTTTTTGAAATTATTTTCTGATCAGAAAATTGTTGACTGTTGAAAAATTAAAAGATTTAATTTTCTAATTTATAACTAGATTATTTTGGAATTAATTTTAATTTATTTTAATCCAAATATTTTCAAAAAAACATTAATTTACAGGTTCCAAAATTCGATGAAAACGTCCCATCCGTTCAACTATCCAAGCATTCTGATGGGGCACACAATGAATAACAGTGTTAAACTTTCCACCTTTGAAATGTTTTGATCGTCGCATAATTAATATTTTTATTTTACTAAAAATTTAAAATAATAATTTTTTTAATTAAACAAATTGCCTGGGGGAATATTTTTATAAAATTAAAAAATTTTAGAAAAGTTGAAAAATTGATGATAAGAATTATTTAAAAAATGTTGAATAATAAAATTTATATATTATTATGTAAAAATATTATGGACAATATAAATTGCTTTTTTATTTAAATAAAATTTAAGTTAAATTATATAAATATTTTTCTAATTTTAAGTAAACAACGATAAAATGTGAGGAATGAAATAATTATTTTAAAAACCGGATTCCTTTCAAAAAAATAGAAAATAAATTAAAAGTATTTAAAATTAAAGATATTAACCTTTTTTTTAATTTTAGATCAAAATAAGTTTAAAACAGACCATCGACAGGGGAAATGAAAATAACTAAATTATTGAATGTGTTATTATTAAATATACTACCTATTTATATTAATCCAGGGCTCGGATTCGTACTTTATTTGAAAGTACAGTACTTTAAAATCGACCTCCGTACTTACGAAATTGAATTTGTACTTTATTGAAAGTATGTACTTTAAAATCAACATTTTGAAAAAAATGGAAGAAATCTGGCTCAAGGACCTCCAAAATTCTCAAAATTTTCGCCTGCGGCGCAAAAAATGGAAGAAATCTGGCCTAAGGACCTCCAAAATTCTCAAAATTTTCGCCTGCGGCGCTGAAAATGGAAGAAATCTTTCCTCTGGTCTTCCAAAATTCTCAAAATTTTCGCCTGCGGCGCAAAAAATGGAAGAAATCTGGCCTAAGGACCTCCAAAATTCTCAAAATTTTCGCCTGCGGCGCAATTTTGGATTTGAAAAACTTTTTTGTGGCGTCTTCGGCATCACAAAAAAGTGCATTGAAATGCATAAATTGCTCAGCGGAAACAAGAAATTATTAGAAAAGATTCATTTAGGAGAGAAATATAAAAGATTTGAGGACGAATAAATATTTTCTAATTTAATTTGGAGTGTACTTTAAATTTGGAAATTTTGTCCCTATGTACTTTAAAATAAAGATTTTTGTACTTTTGATTAGCATTTTGTCGATCCGAGCCCTGTATTAATCATACTAAATATGTACATATGTATTTTAAATATATATATAATATGTATAGTTTAAAAAAATTTCATTACTAATTATCATAAAATAGCGAAAATGATTTTTGTTTTGGGGCTTTAGTGTTTTTATTTTATCTTTAGCCTTTGGCCGCAAAAGCATCCTTCCTCCATTAAAATTGCTGCTAAATGTATGAAAACCAACTATGTTTTTCACTACTATAGTGGAAGGAAGCATTATTGCCCTTTTTTCGTGTCCTGACAATTGGACAATGGACATTTTGACCATTTCAATTAGATCAGAAAATTCTTGCTTACCTAGTAATAGAAAACTGTTACAATTACTATCCCTGATAGATCCTTGGTGATGATTTCGAATTACCTAGGCCTTATAACAACAAGTGGATAGCTCATGTAATTTTAACGTTAACCTATTAACTTAAAGAGACCAATGATTAAATTTAGGGCTGGGGGCCCGGTCCGGTCCGAAAGATCGAATAGGGCATCGAATTTTGGCCCGAAAAAGATTCGGTCGGGCCGGCCCAATAAAAATAAGGCCCAAAAAATGACTCGAACGTCTGCCCGACTTGAAAACGCCATCCCTATGATTAAATTAATAAGATTATTACTAGCGTTTATTTAAAAAAATTTATTTTTGAGGGATTTCTCCCAATTTTATGAGGTATGTGGCTATCCAATTCTCCGTTGTCCAATTGTCTGGTAGTCCTTTACCCTATTGCAATCAATATATGTACGTATAACGAAAATAAAAACATCTGTGTTGGGTAAAATGAGCTAAATAAAAGTGTGGTGTTTTTTGCTAAAAATTTTTTTTTGATTTTTTGAGTAAAATTAAAAATAAAGTAAATTTTGTTTAGTTTATTAATTTGGAAATTTATAATTTTGAATATGTAGATGCTTTACATAAATATTAAAATAAACATAAATATTAAATACATAAATATTAAAATAAATTTATATATCTAAATTTAACAAAATTAAACACGCAATTTTAAAAATATTTTTTCAAAAGAATTGAATATTTGAACGTTTATATTATTTTAAATGTTAAATGTTCCCTTTATTGTTTTTTTGTTTAAAAAATTTTTGCGTAATAAATATAATCGGAAACAATTACATAAATCCGGTAATTTAATTGTTTATTTTTTTAAAAAATATTTTTGGAAATTAAATCAAAAATTAAAAATTAATAAAAAATAAAAATTTTTTGTGCAAAATATTTTTAAAAAAGATTAAAAAATAAATTCTTTTGTTTTTTTAAATAAAAGAGATTATAAATTATTTTTATAAAACAATAGGAGAAATATAACTTGTGATTTAAATTTATTATAAAAAAATTTGGAACATTAATAATTATAACTTCCTTAAATGAATAAAAAATAATATTAATTTATTGTCTACAAAATTTTTCAAAATATGGATATAAAAATTATTTTAATGTTTAATTACTAATTAGAATTAAATAATAAATAAATTTTGCAAAATAGAAACTAAAATTAGAATTGTCGTCTAAAATAAATATCTAGTTGGTAATTTTCTTTGAATTTTTAATTGTTGATACATGAGACATGATTACGTTGATAATATTTAATTTATTTAAAAACTACCTATATACTAAACCAGCGCGCTCCGCGCACTGGATTGAATGCGCCAAAGGCGCATTTAACACGGAGCCTAGAAAAAGTTATTTCCAAAAAGAGGTTTTTGAAAAGTATTTAATCCCTCTATCTTTTAACCACTATCTTTTAAACCCTCCAAATCTTTACATCCCTCTAAATCTTTTAATCATTCTATCTTTTAATCCCTCTAGATCAACCCAATCCCTCTAAATCCACCTAATCCCTCTACACTTTTAATCACCTTAAATCTTTTAATCTCCCTAAATCCACCTAATCCCTCTAAATCCTTTTATCACCCTAAAGCCACTTAATCCCTAAAAATCTTTTAATCCCTCTAAATCCACCTAATCTCTCTACAACTTTTAATCCTCTAATTCCACCTAATCCCTCTGAATACTTTTTTTAATCTTTTAATCCCCCTAAATATATTAATCCCCTCTAAATATATTAATCCCCTTAAATATTTTAATCCATATAAATCCACCAATCGCTCTGAATCATTTTTTAATCTTTTAATCCCCTTTATCAACCTAATCCCTATAAACTCACCTAATCCCTCTACAACTTTTAATCCCCCTAAATATTTTAATCTCTTTATCATTTAATTCCCTGAAACGTTTAATCCCTCTAAATTAGTGTTATTCATTTGCGATTTTTCGAGATCGAGATCGAGATTATCGAAAAATCTCGATATCGAAAAAATCTCGATTTTTTCAAAAATTGATCGAGACGAGATCGAGATCGATAATCTCGAAAAATCTCGATATCGAAAAATCTCGGTCCAAAATTTTCGAGAGCGAATTTAATACAATAAATGTAAAATAAATTTATAAATAGTGAATAAATAGTGAATTTAGTATTTGTAATGAATCAATGGAAGTGTTTGGTTCAGAAAAATTAACATTTCTGCATTTATTGTACTAAAAGTGATCGCCTGTAGTCAAAGACGTCTCTTGCTACGGACCGATACGAGATCGAGATCGATAATCTCGAAAAATCGAGACGAGATCGAGATCGATAATCTCGAAAAAAATCTCGCGATATCTCGAAAAATATCGTCGATATATCGTCTCGTGAATAACACTACTCTAAATCAACCTCATTCCTCTAAATCTTATAATCCCTCTAAATCCACCTAATCTTTCTATATCCCTTCAAAGTACGCCCTCTATAATCATTTATTCACTTAAATCAATATTCCTTTTACCCATAAAATGCCTTCCAACTCCTAAAAAATTTTTTAAAAATACATTTTAATCATAAACTCATTTAAATATATTTTTCAATAAAGAAAAAAATATTTGGAGCATTTTGGATTCGAACCCTTACCATTCTCCCAAAACCTGACACACACCACCACACCACCAAACAACTATTTTGTTCTCTCTTTTATTTCGCTATGTAAATACAATTTCCGACAAATTTCGACTTTTCGACCTTAAAAGTCGAAATTTCAAAAATCGGAAAACACTATCCGATCGGAAATACATTTTTACATAGGTATAGCAATTTTCAGCTTTTTAAATTAATACAAAAAAAAAGTTTTGGACAAAATTCGAAATTTTTGCATGTTATTCTCTTATATAGGGAACCAGCGCGCTCCGCGCACTGGATTGAATGCGCCAAAGGCGCATTTAACACGGAGCCCAGAAAAAGTTATTTCTATGAAGAGGTTTTTGAAAAGTTTTTGAAAAGTATACAGAGAATTCACCTTCCGCATAGGGATTACCATCCCCATGAAGAGATTACTACTCCAAACCCTTTTTCTAACCCCTCTACATCTTTTAATCCCTCTAAACTTTTATCCCTCTAAATGTTTTAATTCCTCTATTAATCACTATATCTTTTGATCCCTATAAATCTTTTAATCCCTCTATCTTTTAATCCCTCTAGATCCAGCTAATCGCTCATTATCCACCTAATCCGTATAAATCCACCAATTCCTCAGAATCCTTTTTAATTATTTAATCCCCCTAAATACATATAATACGCTTAAACCCATCTAATCTCTCAAAATCTTTTAACCCCTATAAATCCACCCAATTCCTCAGAATCCTTTTATGTAAATTATTTAATCCCCCTAAATACATATAATACCTATAAACCCATCTAATCTCTCGAAATCTTTTAATCCCTATAAATCCACCCAATCCTTATAAATCCTTTTTTCTTTTAATCCCACTTTATCCAACTAATCCCTCTACAACTTTTAAACACCTTAAATCTTTTAATTCCGCTAAACCTCTAAATCTTTTAATCGCCTTAAATCTTTT